ATGACGTTGGAACTGTATCTTTTTTTTTCTTTTATCTTTCTTTCCTTCATTTATACTGACCTTCATTCTGTCATTGTTTTTCTTTCTTTTTCTTTCTTTCATTATTTCTTTCCATCTTTCTTTCTTTCATTCATTTTTATTTATTTATTTATTTTTTCTTCATTGTTTCTTTTCTTTTTTCTTCTTTTCTTTCTTTCCTTCTTTTTTTATTTGTCTTTCTTTCATTCTTTTTTGTTTCTTTCTTGTTCTTTTCTTCATTCTTTTTCCTTTTTGTTTGTTTCTTTCTTTCTCCTTCCTTCTATCTTTCTTTCTTTCTTTCTTTTTCTTTCTTTTTCCTTTACTTCATTCTTCTTTCTTTCATTCATTTTCTTTCTTTCTCTTTCTTTCCTTCAATCTTTTTTTCTTCTTTCTTTCATTCTTTTTTGTTTATTTTTCTTTCTTCCTTTTCCTTTCCTTCATTCTTTCTTCTTTCTTTTTTCATTCATTTTTTCTTTCTTCTTTCCCTTATTTTTTCCTTCTCTTTTTCATTCTTTCTTTCTCTCATTTTTTGTTTTTTTCTTTTTCCTTTCCTTTATCCCTTTCTTTCTTTCTTTCTTTCTTTAATTTTTTTCTTTTTTCCTCCCCTTCATTCTTTCTTTTCTTCTTTCTCGAATTCTTTTTTCTTTTCTTCTTAAGCCGCCGGTCTAACACTAAACTGCATTTAAAATTTTGAAGCACCTTCCCGCCAAAATCGGCAACACAACATCAATTAAATTTATTTTAATCTCGGTTCCTATATTTATAGCGGAAGAGTGCTCGTTATCGGCGAAAGATGGCGTTTATAGACACAAGCAAAAATGGTAGGTTTTACTGATCATATGAAAACGCGTCAAGCAGACACAATAAGTAAACTTTTTTTTTTCCGGCTGATCGATCATTAGACACACTTAAAAGTAAGTCAGTTCCATTTTCTGCTCGTAATGCGAATGATAAATGGAATTGGCGCTTGACGACCTGTTTTATGACCAGCGAAATTTTGTTACGCGCCTGCGTTACACGTTTCAATAAGATTCGCAAAACGTAATATTTACGTAAGTTTTCCATAAAAATCATTAACATTAATTCATTTTAATTAAAAAAGCAAATTCGAAAAAACTTTGGACTAAAATTTACGTAAGTTTTCTTATAAAAATCATTAACATTAATTCATTTTACATTTTAAAAATATTCATATATATATATATATATATATAGAAAATTGAAACTATATATATATTAATAATAATGATAATAATAATAATAGATGGCGACTCGTATTCGAGGATACCCTAAAACTAGTGCGGCTATCCAATCCTTATTGCAGACTGTCACTCAGGCACATTTGTGTTTATACACCCCATATATATATATATATATATATATATATATATATATATATATATATATGATAAAATTATATAATAACGCTTCATCAGGTGGGAAATTTCCACCTGATGAAATCGATGTTAATAATTTTAACTTTGAAACAAGATGTACAGTTTTTATACCGTGCATGTACATGTTCTAATGTAACAGTGCATTATATATATATATATATATATATATATATATATATATATATATATATATATATATATATATATATATATATATATATAAGTCAAGAGGCGACAGGCTATTTAATGCAATCGCACGACGATTGCGTCTTAGTATGAAACAGCCTGTCGCCTCTGGAGTGTTGACTTCAATGGTCACTTTTTATATTTATATTTATACGATCTATCTCTGATAGTGACACTTTATCCCATAAATATTTCACACCTTAAAACTATATTTCTTCATATATATATATATATATATATATGAGCGCGTGGCTGATTGGTTTGACTATGAGACGCGGATTCGAATCTCACCAATTTATCAGGAAGAAATCTTCTTGAAGTTTTTAGCCTGTAGTGGGGATGATCCCAGCGTGCGGTTCCTTTGGAAAATGCCTGAAAATCATACCACGTGTTGACTCAATCCTTGTGAGTGATATTGGGTAGATGGAAACCTTGCTAGCATTAAGTCACAAGTCATGGTGACCGAGGGTCTGAGTGTGCTGCTGTTGTTCAGATTGTTGATCATTCTCTTCCAGAAACTGTTTCTAAGCGAGAGTCTCCGATAAGGATTTTCTAGCCTCCCTAGTAGACGGGTATCCTCGAATACGAGTGGCCAGCTCACACACACACATATATATATATATATATATATATATATATATATATATATATATATATATATATATATCCCTTTCTGAAAATCCTATTCATTGGTTGCATGTAGACTAGAGTCGAATCAAAAAATAAAAAATAAAAATATTTAGCTTAACATTGTGCAGTATAAATGTCTTTTTTCGGCCAGTTTCATATACAGAAAAAAAATCTGCTAGTTCCTCTGCCATATTGTATTACCTTTGTGAGTGCATAATAAGAATCGCATTGCAAAGAGAAAGAAACGAAAACAAAACCACATGGTTGTTATGTACGAAATGCTTACGTGGAACACCGTCTCCTTATTTCGTTTATGAAGCCCCGTTATAATAGATAGACAAACGAGTTGAATAACCAGCTGAAAATGCCATTATGATTCTCAGAATTCACTGACCGTAGTTCATTAAGATTCAAGGACAAATATGAAGAAAAATTGAAGCTATTTTAAACTTGTCTTTGTCGGAATTCTGGGAGGAGGAGTTATCACAATTTACAGTCGAATTAATGGCTTCGTCTATGTTGTTATTGAAACAACGTTTTAGCCGTTATGGTCCTCGACCTTCATCAAATGCCTGTCGATCGGGGTAACTTTTAGGATAGATTGATTGATTTCAGTCTTTGCGGCTTATCAAACCTTTGTGGGAGAAGAAAAAGAACAATAAGCAAAAACAAGAAGAAGAAGAAAGGAGGAGGGGAATAAAGGAAGAAAGAATAAGAAGAGGAAAAACAAGTAAAGAAGAAAAACAAGAAAGAAGAAAGAGGAAGAAGAAGAAGAAGAAGAAGAAGGAGGAGAAGGAGGAGGGGAGGAGGAGGAGGAGGAGGAGGAGAAGACGAAGAAGAAGAACAAGAAGAAGAAAGGAGGAGGAGAATAAAAGAAGAAAGAATAGGAAGAGGAAAAACAAATAAAGAAGAAGGAGGAGGAGGAGGTTGAGGAGGAGGAGGAGAAGAAGACGAAGAAGAAGAAGAAGAAGAAAGGAGGAGGAGAATAAAACAATAGGAAGAGGAAAAACAAGAAAGAAGAAAAACAAAAATAAGAATAAAAAGAAAATAAAGAAAAGTAAAACCAAAACGATTAGAAGAAGAGGAAAAAAGAGAGGAATAATAATAATAATAATAATAATAATAATAATAATAAGAAGAAGAAGAAGAAGAAGAAGAAGGGGGAGGAGGAGGAGAATAAGAAAGAAAAGGGAGAATGCAAAGATGAAGAAAGAAAAAGACCAACGAATTAGTAGAAGAAGAACTAGAAAAAAAAAAAAAAGAAAGAAGAAAAATAAAATGGTCTCTGGTAGTAGAAGAAAAGAAAGAACAGAAATATGGAGTAGAAAAATATATGGAAGAATATCCCGTTAACTTTGAATATTTACGTCTTATCAACCCTTTGTGATTTATTTGAAGATGAAACATATTTTAGATACTGGCAAGTTGTTTACTGTGTATGGTGTTCCCCAGCGGTCCTACTGACCGGACATAACATTGCTTAACTTCAATGATCGAACTAATCTTCGGAAAAGTTGAACTGAACGCATTATTTAATGAACGCATTATTTAATACACTGTGTACTTTGGTTTTTGTTGTAGAGAGCTATGATCGCTAACGCCTTGACTTGACACGAAACTTAAAGAAGAAGAAATTACTCTTGTCGCATGCTGTTAATTTCCTCCGTGCAACGAGGCCCTTCACATTTTTTTACTCGGGGAGGGCTGTAATTATGAGTTCAATCCCTGGCACGGATTGTACAGACGAATAATAAGGGGACACAGTACTAGCAATAACTAATCATTTTCTAAAAAACGAATCAGACGAAATACCCCAAGACATAGATCTATCCAAGAAGATTAAATGAAAGATCCAGTTCGAGATTCCTTTAAAGTCCTCATCTTTGTTGTTGTTATCATAACGTTTCGGCCGTTGGGCCTTCAGCCAAGTGTTTTTATCGATCCCGGTAACCTTTAGGATATTTCGAACTGAACCCTTTCGGAATCAAAGCGTTGGTTCGTGAATTTGGTGATCTAATAATCGTGAGTTCAGTTGGGCTAAATAGTGCGTACTAAGACTCAGGTGAAATACGGCGAGTAATAACTGAACGGAAGAAAAATAAGAAGTACACCTGAGACTTGGGCAGAGGAACTCGAACAATCTTCTTCCGTAGATAAGCATTAATGGTTCATATATATCGATGACCCACAATCGAGTAAAATTAAAAACATTCTATTTGTGTTGGGTAATTTGGTTTGCTTTGATTTGTTTTGTTTTACGGCATATCAACCACAATGTGTTATTTAATGCCGACAAAATTTTTATTGCAGATAATATTTTTTTACTTTAAAAATGTATAGTTTGGTTTGATTTGTTTTACGGCATATCAACCTCAATGGGTTATTTAAAGTTGACAAGATTTTTTTTATTGCTGCTAATATTTCTTTCCTTCAAAAATATATAGTTTGGATTGGATTGTTTTGTTTTACGGCATATCAACCTCAATGGGTTATTTAATGCCAACAAGATTTTTATTGCTGTTAATATTTTTTTCAAAAGAGTATTGCTGGTAATAATATTTTTGCTGATAATTTTTCTTTTTCAAAATCATATTGCTGGTAATATTTTTCTTTTTCAAAAAGATACTGCTGGTAATAATTGTATTGCTGGTGATAATTTTTTTCTTCAAAAATGTATTACTGGTAATTTTCTTTTCAAAAATGTTTTGCTGGTAATAATTTTTCCAAAAATGTATTGCTGGTATTCAATCTTATTTTAAACACTTTCGTAGTGCTTTGAACCAAGTTTGGGGATTAACTATTTACCCATAGCTAGGACCCGAACAGGTGCTACCACCCCGAGTCAGATTGAAACAGCCTTGCTTCTCTACATTTAGTACAGTGCCAAATAGGGAAAGATAAGATTACTTTGTGACAATTTTTAGAATTATAAATACCTGCTTGCCGGTGCGCCATGAAAATCAGGGTTTTTTTTCCCGCTCTGAGAAATCCGATAACGATGGGTAAATACGTACCTATCGAATCGACCAAATAAGCCACTTCCATTTCAAACTTTTTCTTTAGAGGATAAAAATTCTATGGAGCACTGTTGTCATATTTGGAGGTGAGGGAACTGCCCAGACCGCACTCTCCAGTCTCGATCGTGTCCCAAACGTCTCCGAATCCTTGTGGGTGATGAATTATTCTCCACTCTCCAACCTCTCTCTCACAGGTGGATTGTGGCAAGCCTTTCGCTGCTCTAACGATACTTCCACGGAAAGTCCTCTGACGAACTACATTCCTTGGTCCCTTCACGGCAAGAATACGCCATACCACTTACGTAGTAGCAAACAATCCACATTCCTTATTCCATCTGGGAGAAGTTCCACTCGA